ATTTTTTTCTGCATAAATATACTACTTTATTTATTCCCTATTGGTGCTACCTAAGTATTTTTTGTTAAGAATTTTAAAGCATTAATTGTATTATTTGTATTTAAATTTAATTTTTATTAAAGTTTCTTAATCTTGTAATATTTTTATAAATTTTATATATTCTTAATATATTAATTTTTATATTTTCAATATATTTATAATACTTACTTAATTGTTGTTTTTATTTTATGAAAGACATATTGCAACGTTTTTTTTACATAAAAGTTTTTATAGAAAATATTTAATAATGTTAATATAAGTTAAATAATAATAAAAATAAAAATTGTAATTGATTCTACTTTAATTTTTACGAATTTATTAATTTTTACAATTTATAAATTTAAAGAAATTTGCGGGAATGGATGATAAATGTCGGACCAATCACAAACCGGGGAGAAGGTGGCCAGACTTTTATTAGAGGGTCACTAAGTATATAAAGTCACGAGAGTAGCGCCAATGCATGTGCCTAAAGGATCTACGCACAATAGGAGAAATATTAGGAACATATATAAGAATTTTAACCTGTCAGAAAGCGCACATTCCACAGTACACAGTTCTGAGGGGGTTAAAATTCTTATATTTAATATCTGTTCCTAAAGGTACAATTTCATGCTGACGCTTGACGCTTATTTTTAGAGTCAAAACAGATCACGTGATCAAAATTGATGCTTAATATTCGTCAATTTGTATCACATGATCTGTATTGACGCTAAAAATAAAGCGGGGAGCACAGACTTTTGCATAACGCATAATACATATACATAAAGAATTTGATTAGTCCATTGACTCATGCATAAGAAAATGGGCCAATGAAATTCCTTATGCACATGCTTTATGCATTATGCAAAAGTCTGTGCTCCCCGCTTAAGCGTCAAGCATCAGCATGAAATTGTACCTTAATATTTCTCTTATTGTACGCAGTCTAAAGCCTATCGCACATGAAATGCATAATAGAGCATGAGCATAACATAAAACTGTTGGACCAATAAGCATCCAGCATAAAGTTGCTATATTGATTAACATAAGATGCTCATTGGTCCAGCGGTCTTATGTTTATGCACTGTTAAGCGGGGAGCACAGACTTTTGCATAACGCATAAACCATATACATAAACAATTTGATTGGTCCATTTTCTTATGCATGAGTCAATGGACCAATCAAATTGTTTATGTATATGATTTATGCGTTATGCAAAAGTCTGTACTCCCTGCTTTATGCATTTCATGTGTTTTGGGCTTACTGGAGGATCCCTACAGTGCGCTATAATAACGGAACGATTTTTCTGTATTGCCAGTTTATATCGGAACACCTACATTCAAGGACTAATAATTTTTTTTAATGACACCGGCTGTCATTAGTTTTTTTTAATCGATTGTGTGACTGATACTCTTTTTTGGCTGATATTGTAGTCAAAATATCCTTAAGATTAGTTTCCACTATGGGTACGGCCAATGCGATGCTACAAATGCTTTGATGCATTTTTTAATTGGCCAATTTGTAAAATTCTTTTTTTTGATTGGTCTATTTCAAATCATTTGTAGCTAGACTTTGACCACAGCCTATAACTGCATGCTTTCATCCTTCCATATGATTTGATGAATCAAATAAATTCTTTAAAAAATAGCATGGCAGTTATAATTTTTCAAATCAGATTTCTTATATTCAAATAACTACTTTCTTGGATTATTAAAAAAAAAGCAATTATTTATTAAAATCAGCTTTTTTATATTTTATATTAAAAAATAAAAAATTTAGAAAATGTCTCGAGAAACTATAAAAAAAGAAGTTATTAGGAATATCTATATATATTTTTATAAAATAATACAATATAGAGCGATTAAGCCCATGGCACATAGAAAAACGTAAGGTCGTAAACGTAATCCGTAAGCTAATTGACCAATCACAGTTGAGAACGTAAGCAGCCGCCGCTTACGTTCTCAACTGTGATTGGTCAATTCGCTTACTGATTACGTTTACGGCCTTACGTTTTTCTATGTGCCATGGGCTTTACTGTGCAAAACTTGAAGAAAAGGTACATTTTTGTACAAAAAAATAAAATAAAATAAGCGCGCCTGACTTGTTTGTTTATTGTCACTTACACGATACTACTCGTACATTACCAATCATTTAAAATTTAAATTTTGGAGAATTTCTGTAAAAACCGGTCATCTTTAAGTATAGCATATTATCGCGGTGTTATAGTATTTATTATTACACTTCTCTCTCTAATTTCATCAATTTTTTGAAGGTATTATATTTATAATAGAAAAATAGGAGAGAATAAAATTGATGCTTGAAAATATTTTAAACCCTTCTTATTTAGAAACTACTGTAATTTCATTTTGGTATCAGAGGATTTTCATTTTAAAATGATTTCAGAAGTCTACTATTGACTGGTATCATGTAAAGTCCAGAATTATACATTTTTAAGGGTTATATGTATATATTAAAAAAATAATTTATAAAATCGATTTTTCTTAGAAATTGACTTATTTCTTTAAAATAAAAAAGAAATCAATCCAGTATCCAAAAAATCAGAATTTTGAATTCGGCTATACGAATCCATTTCTATCGATTGTCTGTGTGTGTATTTTAATTTCTTGAGAATTGAAATAGATAAAAATGGATTTGTGTAGTCATTGTTAAATCCAAAATTTTGATTTTTTGAATGCTGGGAAATGATATACAATAAAGAATTAATTAATCAGCGTGACATTGAAATATTATTGTTAAAACAAATTAGAACAATTGAAGGGCTAAGTTCCAGTTATATAATAAAGAACGTTTATTAATTTAAAAACATAATAAAAATAATAACAAACGCTTCGACGCCGATCGGGTCATTCTCAATGTTACAGTAAATACATTATAATTATAAAACTATTAGAAATCTATAAAATATATGGTTTTCAGTATTCTCTTCGTGTATTATAATGTTGCGAATCAATAAATTAAAGTAGTCAAATTAGTCGTTAAAAATTCTCGGCCGTAAAACAGTAAAAATCTTATTAAATAAAATGTTGAAAGTCAATGAATAACAAAGAACGGAAAAAGGTGATGATCTACATTATAGTGATACACAGTAGTTATTATCTTAAAAATTGGAGCAAGATTGCAAATGAACATCTCCCTTTACAAAGAACAAGTGATTTCGACGATGTCAGATAACGTAATCATTATTACTGTTTTACTGCCGAGAATTTTCAACGACTAATTTTACTATTTTAATTTAATGACTCGCAACATTATAATACAGGACATGAAGAGAAAGAGAGAGAATATTGAAAACCATATATTTTATAGATGTCTAATAGTTTTATAATTATAATGTATTTTTACTGTAACATTGAGAATGACCCCATCGGCGTCGAAACGTTTGTTATTATTATATTTTTAAATTAAACGTTCTTTTTATATAACTGTCTCTTAGCCCTTCAATTGTTCTAATTTGTTTTATTCTTAAGAAGAGAGAGCCTATTATTATTTATTATATTATTCGTTAATATCGAATGTTCATGGATTCATCGATCGCTTTGTATCAGTTGTATCTGGTCTCTTCGGATTGATTCTCTGTATATTTTATATTTTGTTAACAATGAGATCACCTGTAGAGGAAGGTAACATTGCTTTTCGAAAGATTGCAAAGAGATAAAATCAAAAATGTTTCCTTTTGTACGAGGCATTCATTCTTTGTTTAATCAACTAAATATAGTACATGCTAAATAAAAAAATTAACATATTAAAATATACACTTTATATTTCAATAATATAAAGAATAAAATAAGAATAAAATATTTTAATCCGAAAGGAAAATCGAAAGTTTGTTGAAAATCATTATGTTGCCTGAAAGCGTCGAAGCGCAAATCGGGATGGATGCGGAGGAATTTGCCGATGTAATCGGACGAATAAACCTCGTTCGCTGGTATAATATAGTATAGCCTGTAAGTTTTGTTTATTATGATATCCATATGTGTCATTAGCCTTAATGGGAGAAACGACCGATTAAGATATTAAGCTCCTCTTGGATCATCCACTGATAAAACATGGCTACACTAAATTATACATATGTGGTATTAAATTATGTTTACAGATTCGTTAAAAAACGTTATCGTGCGGCGTGTATAGTTGGCGCCGTATAAAAAAAAAAATAAATTGAGAGATTACAAAAATATGCAATCCGCAGATATAAGACAATAAAAACAAAAGAAAAAAGGAGAGAACGATGGGGCAGCGTTTAAAGATCGAAGAAGCCATGTGAAGATTGATAATCACAAATTATTGTACGAATCAACGTGGACGAAGGGCGTATTCTCTTTTCGCTTTGGTATTTCATAGGTGCGATGGGTATAGCGTCTGCAATGTTAAGCGATCCTCACGTCTCAGCCAGTGCTATCGCAATTCGGACTTTCTTTCCGAGTAATTCAACATATGGCAATCTTCGACAAGCCGACATTAATACTAACGACGCCAAATTTCCTTTGTATCAACATCGATTTTTTCATAGTCGTGGATGTTTCAAATGCACATTACTAAAAGTAAAATTTTCTCGCAAATTATAAATTACAAATTATCGTTATTCGCTTTGTGATTTTGAATGAATTCCCCGAATACTTCGGATTCAATTATAAAAGTATCTCTATACTTTTATATAATAAATAATCTACTATATTGTGAGACACACTACCGGAGAAAAGTCTGTTAATCTTTCACTGACGTGAATCTATTGGACTCACTTTATTGGATAATAAAAATTTTATAAATAAAAATAATTCAACTTTCTTTTGTGGAATATTAACATAAAAGATACATTATTTTTTAAATTTACTATTAGTTCTTAATTTTTTTATTATTATAGCACAATTACGCTATTTTACATAAAATAATTAAATTTTCTTTATGTTGTATCTGTAAAAATTTGAAGATTGTTCTTATTAAAATAAATTAATAATCACTCTATTTTACACGAATTATGTCATTTTGATTCCTTGAAATTAATTAGTGCTTTTTAATTATATATTAAATAGATCTCATAAATCCAGTGTTAATACTAAAGTAATTTTTAGACCAAGTTTTACAACTCACAGTTAACTCTTAACCGAGATTAGAATTAGCGGTTCAACTTATTTCTCATCTCTTTCCAATTCTAGAATTGAAAAGAGATAATGAATAAATTAAACCTCAGTTAAGAATTAATCGTGTTTTAAAATTGAACCTTAAAGATTTTAGCGTCAGTTCTGAATTGAATTAATATTCATTTCTATCAATATAGGATTACTTTAACCTTGATTCGATTAGAACTATAAAATAATAATAGAACCAGAAAAGAATAAAAAAAATAAAATTAAACTGAGACTAAGGGCCTGTTTTTTGTGGCTAAACTACAGTTGTACTGAAGTGTACACTTTTGGAAAACTTAAACAGATAGCACACATTTAATATTCAGCGAAAGCGAGAAAGAGAATTCGAGTGCAGCTTAGTGTGGAAATAAAAAACAGACCTTAAAATTAATTTACATTGATGAAAATTTTGTCTCAGAATTTATATTGACGCAGAATTAAAGGCGTGGGATTATTCGGCGAATGCGTAGGATCAGTCATAAGTACTAAGATATCGACCCGTGATAAGAATCGCGACAACGCTGGCGATGTCAGAACCACTTAACGCGTGCTAAACATTTAGTCGATACACACATAAAGTGAGGAAGCATCGCGCGAGTTTAAACGCACGACTCTTGAAATTCGCGCGAATCCTGCCGAGCGAACGAATTTCTTTCGCAAATACGCGATTACACGGTATACATTTTTCCGCGTGTTAACGTGTATGTACGTGTATACGATAATCACGAGTACAAGTTTTTCCTTTTTCTCCTCCTTTCCATCGATCGATTACAGGGGGTGACGACGTGGGAATAACATCGAGGTAAACTGCGAAGAGTGTGTTGTCTTCTGTGTGTTCCTCTTAACTTTCCTTTCCTTCTTCTCTCCCGTCTCGTTGGTATCAGAAAAGCGTAATAAGCAACAGCTCGACGACGTCGCGTTAATCGATAAATATCCGCGTCGTTGCCGTAAATCACTTATATTCTTCCTCCTTCTCTCTCTCTCTCTCTCTCTCTCTCTCTTTTTCTCTCTCTGTCTCTGTTGTCTTTATCTCGAATATATCGAACATCGCTGTTTGGATTAGTTAGTACCTATAATTAAGATCGATACGCGGTATACATAGTATTAGATTTACAACTTAATTCTCAGCCCTTATATTCAATCGACTTCAGCACTTATTTAAATTTGAATCTTTCCCTCGCTATACAGTCGTTTTGAAACGTTATCCATAAGCTTTAAAATAAGGTATAATAGGTGTCGGCGCTGCAAATCTAATCTCAAAAAATAGTAATGAAAACTATATGGCTATGTTCTATTTAACGCTCACAATGTTCATGAAATTATTTCATCCTTGTTTATCAAATGTCAAACAAGGAAAAACGATGCTCGTGAGCATTGCGAGCGTTAAGCAGAGCGCAGCCCAAGTTCCGAAAAGCAGCATTTGAGACACTGCCTCCTTTCCAGCTGAAGAAAAATGCTGCGGAAGCTTAAAAAATGATTTGTTCAGCTTTAGGCGAAAACTCTGTGTCGTATAATACATGTAAAAAGTGATGTGAAAGATTTCGTGATGACAATTTCAATTTTTTTCATCATAGAATGCACCGACTCAAAACAATAACCATCTTTTTTTCCGAAGTGGAATCCGACAGTTGCCTGAAAGATGGCGAAAATTATTTTAATATCAATTTAATATTAATGCGTTAATATTCGTTCTTTTATAATTTTACGTCGAAACTTGGTGAAAAAGATCGAGAATGAAGTTGTAGACCTAATAGTACAGCTAGCGTACCCTATTACAATAAACCTATCGATAAAGTCGCGGGGACCCTTTACTCTTTCACTCTCACTCTCACTTCCGCTTTACGACGCGAGAAAAAACAGACCCGGACTCGTGACCAACAGGGCTATTCTGTATCTTTTAACGTAAGTTTCGTTATCGTTACAACATCGTTGCGCAGCTTTTTTATCAGGATAAAAAAAAAACTGTACAATGCTATTATAACGATAATGAAACTTGCGTTAAGAGTTACAGAATAGGGATGTAGGGAGATATTTTGGGGAGATAAGAAAATTAGTGAGCAGCACGTACGTTCTTCTTTATATTTTATCCAAGGAATGTCCTGAGAACGTCCTTGAGATATTCTGGAAACGACCTTAAAACGTCCTCTGAACTCTAAGACGTCCTTTGGAAATCTGTGCTGTATGGGTCTTTAGTTGCTCTTTTTCTTTCTTTCTTGTTCTCTCTTTAAACTCATATTGACATTCGCTCACACATAAAGGAACCATTGAACGCGCTCGTCGCGGCTCGCGACAATGCTCGTTAAGAGTATAGTGACAATAGCAGGAAAATTCATCATTGGCATACACATCGGGCACAACGTGCTAAAAAATAAATTATACTGTCGTCCAACGTTATAAACTCACGTTCTTCGACGCTGAACGTCTTTCTCTCTTGCTCCTTTTCTCTCTCACACTCTCACATTTCTCTCTCTCTCTCTCTCTCTCTCTCTCGCTCTTTTTCTCATTTTATTTTTTTTCTCTTATTCTTATCTTCGCTCAATGACTAGACACGTCGCTTCACGCGGATCACTTAGTAAAAAAATTAGCGAAAATGGAAAACATCTGTAGAAAAAATAAACTCGCCTCCGCGATGATAGCACCGTGGTCTTGGCTCGAACACGCGCCAGATCCAGCGCAGTCGCGCGGATCATCAATTCAGCTCCCGCGTCGCTATCCCGCGGCGACATTCCTTTCTTCTCGGGCACAATAATTAATTACGATAGAAGTCCTCGCGACTGGGCGGAGTAACTGGTCGATGGGTGGTCGCGTTTTCGTATATATCGTTTTAAATTTACAACGCGCCTCCAAAATCGGTGAGACCTCGAAATTTCTCGATACACGATTGGCTTGACGTCCCGGTGCGTAGCGACGACACGGGTTTCCGTTTCGTTATCGCGTCTCCCCCGATGATTCACGCGTGCGAGAGGGAACGGTTATTGTCAAGTAACATCGTCCAAGAGCGACCGCGATTCGAGCGGATCCTACAGACTGAGAGACGAACTTGCCCTCGGTAAACACTAATAATAACACACATTGCATCAATATTATAATTTTCCATTCAACAATGTGATTGTCATATTACACACCATTGTACGTGTAATAGTTACATTTCCTGAGTAGCAAATTACAACATTAATGTTATATTACCATATTAATTGATTTACTCTAGGTGGATCTCTTTAAAACGTACCCGATCGATTTGATACAACTTTCATCGGCGGCGATTCAAAAGAGGCAAACCGGAAGACAGGCCGGAACGCCAAGCGCACACCGATCGCGAATGAACAGCGTGAGCCTCCCCAGCTCCGTTCTCGGCCTGATTACAATGACAATTTTAATTAGCCTGTTCTGCGCTTTGAACTTGTTTCTCAATCTTGCGTGCAAGCTCGGGGCTCATGTGCGGATGCGGAAACGGTAGTACCGGTTTGCGCAGGATCGTCGGCTTGACCTTGACCTGCGGCTTAAACGACGAGACCACCTGGCTGCCGCCAGTCAGGTGCATGTCGGCGAATTTGGCAACGATTTTAGGGGTGGAGCGCGGCGGTAGAGGTGATCTGAGTGACATTCCTCCACCGCTACCGCCGTCACCACCATCGTCGCCGCTGTCAACGACGATTTCATTTGAGCTGGCCGACCGGACGATCTCGTCGTTCTCCGCGTCGACACCCGTTCCGTCGTGCTCCGCCGTCTCGATTCGCTTCAACTTGCCGGTCGCGGCGATGGCGTTCTCCGAATTCGCAGTCTTCGTGTTTTTCTTAAGGGTACACTGGTTTTGCTTGGCAAAGCGCTCAGCGGCGGTACTCATGTCCGGCGACTCCGGACCACCGGTCGGCGACGTGGCCGCCTCCGATCGGGTGGGTGGCGTTTGCTGCTGCGGCGCCAGGAGAGACAACGGCATTATCGTCTCCTCGTCTGAACTGCTCAGACTGCTGGACGATGCAGACTTCTTGCCGACCGGGTCCTGTGCCGACAACGGTAGATCCATCACCAGATCGGGCGTATGTTTCTGCCTCATTTCGCGGAACTCCTGAGACGTGCGGGAGTAAGACGACGATTTCGGAGTCGGCTGCGTCTGTGAGGTGGCACGACGCTGCCAAAGCTCGCGATTCATCGAGAAGTTGGTTGTTGTCTGCTGCTGCGATTCCTGGAGCAGGTCGTCGTCTGGCGTCATGATGGTTGTCGTTGTCATCATCGTTGTCGTCATCGCCGTCATCGCCGTCGTCGTCGTCGTCGTCGCCGTCGTCGTCGTCGTTGTCGTCATTGTCGATATCGCTGCTACTGTGGCGATCATTGTTGAGCTCGGCAGAGAGTTTGCGTGGGACAGTTGCAACAGCTGCTGATGCTGTTGCGCCATTACGCTCTCGCCAATGCTCTGCGATTTCCAATACTGCTGTTTCCGGCTGGCGCCGCGTTTCGTCACGATACCGTCCAGTGACGACATTGCTGTCAGCACATTGCTACCCAGATCCTCGCTCGCGACCTCCTCGTTGCTGTTTCCGCCTCGTTGCTGCTGAGCACAGTTCGCACTACTGCCATCGATGCTGTCAACATTGTTCTCCAGAGCGATCTGGAGAACGCCGTCTGCGTTGTTCCTATGTTGCTCCGAATGCTTCTCGTTTTCCGTAGGGGAAGATGCTCTGACTGGCCTCGACGGAATCATGGTGTCAGCCTGTAAACAGTCACGGGAACAATCGCAGCGAAACTCGAAGCGCGCGCTAAGCGAGGGGCTAAATGGGTATATGTTGCCTGAGCGAAGCTGGGCAGACGGGTCTCGTTTACTATTGCGGGGAATACGCAGATACAACGTCGTCTTGATCTATCAGCGATCGTGCGCGCTGTAACGAGATACGAATTATTGTCGAATTATTATCGAATCACGTCTCCTTCCTTCTATTCAGGGAGTCTCGCCACCAATAGATGTATCTTTCAATCACAGATGAAAAAATTTTAATTTACTGAAATCTCATCATATAGTTTTAAAAAATATTAATGGCCAAAACTTCATCGATTTGTAAAAAATAAATCTGTGAAACGGAGGCGATGGAATCCTATTTCTTATTTATTTTTCAATAAACTTTATTAGACTAAAAATTTAAATTACAATCTAGTTGCCGACACATATTTAATATCAAGAATGAAGAGAAAGTAGCAAATAACGTTCATAGTTATTAAAATTTTATAAAAATGTTAACAATGAATGTAAGAATCTCTAGAAAGGTCGTCTAATGGTAGTGCGACACCCTGTATATAATTTTCCATGTAACAACGTGTATAGATGAAAATTGGGGCGAGTGAAATAATTCGTGAATAATTTACAACTGCACGACACAACGTGAAATATAAATGTAAATACCGAATGAGAGGGGTGCTGATCGTGTAAAAAAAATTAAACAAAGTATATTATTAAAATAAATTGGGGTTTGAAGAAATTTCCATCTAATAATTAAAATATCAAGGACTTTGTATGATTAAATTGAAAGCAGAATTTGCTAATTTATTTTAGGAACAAGAATAAATGGATACAATTTTTTTTATTATTTACACTACTATATTTGAGATATAGAAAATTAATTTGTATAACGAAATTTATTAAAGATATACAAGAGTTTTCTATTAGCGAATTCGATTGGACGCACTAAAGCGCAATAGTGCATATTAAAACCGTTGTACACTGATTTAATCTGCGTGAAAGTAAATTGCAAATATTTCAAATTATAAAAATAATAAATAAGAATAGGCTCTGTAAGAAAAAAACAAGTTAGAACAATTGAAAGGCAAAATAAGAGCCAATTATAATAACCGGTTCTTTAATTGCCCTTTAATTGTTCTAATTCGAATTATAAAGTTTTACTTAAAACAGCACAATAAAATGTATTGAGAATTTCATGGTATAATCTATTTTATATTTATATTAAACACACAGTTTCACGTGAATTTGTGACGGCTTTAATGTTCACCGGTGCGTACTGAGTGCATCCTATTTGCCATGTGTTTTACATTCAAAACGGACTTGAAAATTTAAAATGCACAGCGTTTTGTCACAATTCTGTGATTTCTAAGGAAGCAATTTATTACTTTCTCTAGGTCTAGTTTTCCTCAGAATATTTTGCTTTACAAATTAAACCTATACTGTTACTTCTATAGTGTCAAATTTAATCGAACGTGAGTCGTCACTGTTTCTACTAAATATATCATTATTTTATACTAAAAGGATAATTAAATTTGACACTATATCGTGACAATTCGACACTGTATAGTGTCAAATATAATTACTGTTTTAGTGGTTACTGTTTTTAGTGATGAAGAATCTCAGTATAGAGAGAGATTGATTTCAAAAATGTTGCTGTCTCATCAGGAGATAGGCGCAAGGTTTTATAATAATTTACAAACAGACATGGAGAGGCTTCTCAAGGTCCACTTTCCGATTATTGATAAGCTATAAATGTTGACTTGTTTTGGATTCCAATCAGTCAGTGTTGTTTCATTGAGATAAAATCTTTCTATCTTTCGAATTTTAGTTGCTTTTTTATTTCCTTTTTGATTGTAAACAATATAACTTCAAAAATTTTTTAATTATAACTAATTTTAAAGAAGTATTCAACGTTTTAAGATAAATTTGACATTGACTAGTTGATAGGTCAAGAACTACTTTTTGATTAAATAATTTATTGCTCTATTGTCTGCAGTATGGTTGATTGTTGTCGTAGTGAGCTTCGTTCCTTTACTGTGATTTCAATTCTTACGATGTTTTTCCATAATTTATCTCTGATAATTTTTTAAATCATAATTTGTTAATTTTCTTCTATGATTTTCCAATATTAAGGTTTTTTTTTAGTAAAGTGGAGGTGGTCACTATGACTAATTAATCTTCATGTATGTATTGTATTTATAATGGTAATGTATGTCTCTGAAGAGGGCTTAAAAATAAGCCGAAATTGTAAGTGCCATTAATAAAGAGATCTGGGTTCAGCTCTCGGTCGAGGTAAATTTTTTGCAATAAGAATTAATTATTTATAGATTTTAATATGTTGTTCAACATTATTAAGATCGATCTAAGATGTGTAAAGAGCATAAAAAATTATTAAACTGATAGTCATTCGTTATTATTTAATTCGTGATATTACTGCGGTAGTTTAGTAGAGTTTGCGTTTATAAGATTGAAAAAATTGTTTGACGCGCAGTTTAAAAGACTACATACGTAGTATATAAATTCACACGAAATTATACAAGCACCTAAGATCCAGCTAGACCGTCAAAGGTTTTGAATATAAAATTCGAATTGTCGTGAAAAATTAATATTATTTATATTGTTACTATTTTTCCAATATCTATTTTAAATTCAATAAACCTATAATAAAATGTCCTCAGAAAAACTAGACCAGAAAATAATAAACTACTTTTTTTAAAATTCAAAAATTGTAATCAAATTAATCATGAGCACAATGTCCGTTTTCAGGTTAAACTGTTAAATTTAAAATATAAATTTAAGATCTCAAAACAAACAAAGTTTTTCTCTGGAAGTTTGCTCTCAAACGCTTCGTTGTTAAGAGATGCTGATTTTTTAAGTAAAAACTACAGAAATAGATATAATTTAGGTTTATTTCTTTATTACTTTCCAATAATCAAAATGTAGTTAAATGTTTTGTTCAAAATGTCCTCAAATCCTGAGATAAATATTGCACCTATCTGACAGAACGAGACGCTGACTGACATTGTGTGATTGCGATTTTTTCGTACGCTTTCATTATCTGCTTTAATAATTGAAAATTATTAACGAGCACTTTATCTACTTTTTGTTTTAGAGAAAATAAAATCGCAAAAGATATACACATTTATGAACAAATTTCTAGAGAAATTTTATTTGTTTTGAAGTTTATAAAATATATATTTTAAGTTTGGCGGTTTAACCCGAGAACACCTTGTATAATAGTAATTAATAGTTTAAAACTTTGTCCTCTTTTTTTATTCCTTTCCTTAAAAGAAATTCATAAATTTTGCCTTCAATGTTATACAAACTTTCTATTTCTCTTTATTCATTCTTTGAAAGTATTCTTGACATGATCGACTTGCAATAGCGTCTGTAAAATTGTGAAATTTCGGGACACTATTACTAATCAGTTACATGCACAAATATAAGGAATAAAGTACCCACACATCCACATATCCACGCACACACGCACGCACATATGTAGGACAATACCACTTGAGGAACAGGATTAAAAACTGCTCGTAAAACTGAGATACATATAAGCGGGTGCACATACCGTCGTAATAAACGATGAAATAGCTTACCTCTCTTTCTTTCTCTTTATTTTTCGGATGAGTTAATAGTGGCTATGTTAAGTTATTACAATGAGTGAGATTGCTCTCTTTACTCACCTCGAAAACCAAAATAAGGATATCCGCTGGAAACAAGTAGGCCCCTCACACGAGCGGCATTCCTTTTGATTTCATCTACAGATCGAAGAGGGAAAATTCGCTCTACGAAGAAATTTTAGAAAACTCACAAAACTCGATAAAGAAAAAAACATTTCTTTAAAAGAAAGAAAAAGAAGCTTAAACACATTCTACCATCAAAATCTAAATCACGCGAGCTTAACGACACAACACGACAATAATAAAAACTAGTCACATAACTAACAACACTGGTGATTAGTTTTATCGAACAGTTTTTAGTCCATGTTTTGTTCTGCGTATGTGTGCGGCGCGTAAAAATGGCACAGCTTATCTCGTCAAAGAGCCAACAGACTAAACGTATATCTGGAAACACATCAACCATTCCAACCGTTAAAACAATCATAAAAAAAAGAAAAAAAACGTAAGGAAGAAAAATCAAAATATACATACGCACAATAATAAAAAACGGTGCAATGGAGGACAAGATAACAGGTGGCGCACAAGACAAGAACAACCACAAGGCGAGGACATGCAGCACAAAATAAACATATATATTTATATTTTATTTACAGATGTATTGTACAAATTCGTATAAAAATCCTACAAGTATGCTATACCAAACTGTGAAGTTAACTTAAAAAATAAAACGTCTTTATGAGAACAAAATGCTCTCCTACGTCTCGTCATCTTCTTCGACTCTGTATCATTGCGTTGTCGTTTTTGCCCGTGAAACTTTCGAATACTTATATAAATCTCAAAATCACGGAAACGATCGCATACATTTCGCAACAAACAATAACTTATTTTGAATTAACCCTCGAGTTTATTTAATCATTAAACTTTTTTCGAGAACTTCATGAAGAACGGAAGATACTTTACATTTGACTATAAGAGAACCGCGCAGATTATATGCACAACGAAACGATACGAGAATCTGATACCATACAAGTGCAGTGCAAGGCAATAGAGTGTTGTCAATCTGTATTGTGCAAACGGCGGTTTCGTTCGCTCGAGAATATAATAGACAAAAAAAAAGATATTTTGCAGCTCTTGAACAGCCATGCACCTGAGTATGCGTCGTGAAGAGTACAGAGACGATAACAGAACTCTGCGTCACGTCGGTGCGTCGGTATGCTAATGGTGCGACAATACACGTAAAAAAGCGAATACAAGGAGAAGAAAGAATCGGGCACATAGATTGAGTCAGATCAATTACTAAACGGTAGTTTCTAATACCTCTCGACTGATGATCGGCTGCGTCGATGATGAGATGCAGGGTACATTTGTCACCACAGACGCAATAATACCGCTAGCGTTACTATTGTCCGTTATTATGTTCGTCGTAGCAGATGATGACATATCGGACGCTGCACCAGACGACCAGGTGCTCGGATTCGCCGATGGTCCCATCAGTGGCGAATTGTTGCTCGACAATACGCTGTCCGCCGAGCTAGACGCTCTTCTACGCATAGATTCCTCGCTGGACGATTTTAAAAGTTCCTTTTCACGCTCCTCATCTCTGAGAAAAGTACAACGAAACGAGATTAGAACTGATTAAATAATAAATTTGGATTTAAATTATAAATTAAATAAAGTGTATAGTAGGAGAAGAAGAGGAGATCTCGTCTCACACGTAATCGATTGTCACAGGGGACAAAATGAACATCCAGATGAAAACAATTTTATATAAAGTTTTATCCCAAAAGAGCCATTTCGAGATATAAAAATGTAATTTTTTATTAACATTTTTTTCTCTGTTAAATGGATCTTGAAAAAAAAATCGTGGATATAAAGAGTGTCAAAAGAATTAGAGTAAGATTTTTTGTCATTCATAATTCAAAATCTAAATCTTATCATAAATTATATTCGATATTTTTTTCAGTTTTTTAAGATTTGGTGGAACATGTCGAAAAAATACAATGGCCTGGTTTACATCGTGAAAGAATTGGTACGCGTATTAAATGTGTTTCATGTGTTTACATCGCCATTTGTATCGTTTGATACGCGTATTAGTTTAGTACGATACTCCTGCTTGATACGCTCGTACCAAAATAATTCGACAGCGTTTACATCGTGCGGTACTAAATGTTTAGTAGCGAATTTGATACGAATATAGTACCTGATACGCGTATCAGGTGCACGATGTAAACCAGGCCAATATTAAATATTGAATCTTGTAAGACTAAAAATTCCATTTTTTTTTCAAAAAAATTAATTTAACTGATTTCAGCATTTATTCTATTATTTTTTAAAGTGACATATTCCATTACATTTAAAAATCTGAAAAAAATATAAATTATGATAATATTTAGCTGCTGAATTATCTTACGAGTGGTCAAACATATAAGGTACATTTGGGGAGACTTAAAGCTATTTCTGTTATTCTATCTTTGTTGTTTATTAGATGTAAAATAAGGATAGAATGATATAAATAGCGTTAATAGAGTCTCCCTGAACACACTATTAGAAATTATATGAAAAATGCAATTTTTTAATTCTTGAATTTTTTAAAAATAAAATTTGAATCCAAAATAAAAAAAAATGTTTATTCTTTTAACACTTATGCTTATATCCACGATTTTTTTGTACGGATCCATGTAGATTTAGCGGAGAAAAAAATACTAATAAAAATATCACATTGTTTTTGATATCTCGAAATAATGCGGTACTTTTGGGGAACAATAGTTCGTATAAAATATTCTTTTACCTAGGAGTTCATTTGGCCCCCGCTCTCCCCTCTCTCTCTCTCTCTCTCTCTCTCTCTCTCTCTCTCTCTTTCTCTCATACCCTTTACTTAAATAATGATTTAATTTAAATAACAGTCTCGATAAAAAGATTTCACATATATTTTGTAAAAAATTTATTGCTAGTTAGAAGATTAGCAACGAATTATAGGGTATGTTAAAACTTGCAGAGAGATATGAATACGATAATTTTTACTTTAACACTCTAAAAATTATCAATATTTAACGTAGTGTATTATACGGAAACTGGAGATTAAATATCACGAGAGAAAACTGTTTAATTTTTGTGATTATAATTCTATGGTAAGATAAATATAACTACTGCCATAATATTAGTATAATAACAATTATATTTATACAATATTAAATCTAATGGAACCATATATATGAGAACACAATCGATAGGAAATAAATACACGCATTAAAATAAAATTTTTAATAATTAATTTAATATTACTAACTTTATCTTGAGCATAATATATTTGTCAGGAATTAGTCCCTCTCTGCCAGCTAGAGCACCTCGCCACCAATCATTGCTGACCTGCGTGTATAGTGTCAAAGTGTCGCCTTTCTTGAAGCTTAGCTCTCTCTCTGATCTTGCATTAAAGTCAAACTGCGCCGTAGCTTCGAGATTCTCTGATTCTAATAGATAGAAAAAATAGAATATATTATACTTCATATAAAATATTTTTTAATTTAACAATGGTTTATATTTTTGAAAAAAAATTGCATTACCATCTTCGGATGGGTAAACTTCCGAGTCCATGTCTTCTTGCACTTGATCCGTCGGCGAATCTCCCACATCACTAAATTATGAATATCAGTAAAAAAATCTTTTTAATACAAGAAATGCCTAAAAACTAATAAAAAATTGCGACATTTCTTACAATTCACCTACAATATTGTTTAAACATATATTCAAAAACATATTATCAGAGAAATTTAGATTTTTAATTATAATTTGACTCCTAATTCGCCCTTTTTAATGTTATTGATTATTGTTAAACATATTAAATATTAATTATCTTAACATAATATTCGATAAATAAATCAATTTATTTACACGTCATCGGGTTCTCTGCTGATGTATTTTTCATATTGAGTGCCCCCAATGTCTTCTGGGAAGATTTCCTCGCAGAATGTGATGATGTTCTTGATAAGCTCATTAACTTGATTCTGATATTGGACCTGATCCTTGTCTTCTGGAACGGGTACCAAGGTTGGGCCGAAGCAGATAGCCAAGTTGTATGGATCCATCATGTTCTCGTCCGAAAATTCCGACAGGCTGTTTAAATATAGATCAGGCAACTTTAAATCCAGCTCAATTTCACATGCGAATTCTTCACAGAGCGATAATACTCACTGATTTAGAAAGGCAAAAAGATATCGCATGACAATTACAACTGGCCGTGGTAGACTCGCTATCATCTCCTTCATTTTGTTAACAAAGTCTTGTTTCGATTCCAGTTGCGCCAACTCCATTAGATGCTCGAAATAGATGATAGGAAAGAGAGGCTCGCGCAACTCCCTCAGATAGAGCTTTAACACCCCAGCGACACTGTTGATGTCCGAAGCATCAGTGACATCCGCAAGTGGATCCTCGCCACGCTCAAACCACTCGCGGAAATTGTTGATCTCCACCTGCGAGCCCGACACACGGAAGATACCTTGATGGTGCAAGCCATATAGATTAATCACGCGAATGCAGCTCTTCATGATCAGCGGTATCTCCTGATTTGTGCTCTCCAGATACTCCTCAAGTGAACCACCAAACAACTTCGGTTGACCGTTCATCTGCAGACGACCGATCCGCTTGCGGCGTGCTTGCTTCTGCTTCGTCGTGGAAATCGACGGGTTTGGGCTAGCATTTGAACCATCCAATAGGCTCTGTCGGATATACTCCTGTTTCGCGTCTAATCTTGCTATTCTCGACGTCCCAAGAAGGTACTCCCTGAATTTCTACATTAACGTGATAATATAATTTTTGTGAATCGTATTTTTTCTGTCATGTTGAAAACAATTCTTGTAACTGACAGAATTTACGTAAATATTTATTGCATTAATTATAGTATTTTATGCTGTATCACATAATGTTATCACATAATTTCTCTTTTTATCTTTATTATATTGTTATACCACACAAAATATTAAAAAGCATCACTTAAAATTAATGCTAAAAAAAGTCCAAATTCAAAATTACGTATCTTTGTAAAAAAAAAATGGTCGTAAAATGATGTTCAAAAAAGTTTCAAAAAAAAAGCAAAAAATACGTAACTTTGAATTTATCCTTTTTAACTTTAATTTCAAGTAATATTTTAATTTTGTTGAGTAGTGTATTATGTATGTGTTATTATATTTTTATATGTTAATAGCCTTTTAAAACAAAATGTAAAGTTTAATTCTGCATGCCAATAATTCTGCCAGTCTTAATGTATAGATACAAATAAATAAAATTGAATAATATCATATACGTTCGATTTTTTAATTTCTTTTTCGAAGATTCTATAATATAGATGAAAAATCGCATTTTTATTAAAAAAAAAAAAATAAATATTCAGTATAATGATACGCATTCGACTATTTTTTATTTGGCCTATCCAATTTCCTTTATCTTTCGAATGTTCATGCGATGATCAATCAATATTTTACCGCACGACCGTGTGTCTTTCGTTTGCCACGGAGAAGAGATATAGAATGTTTTCATAAAATTTACCGTGAGGTAGAATTCTTCAGTCTCTTGTCTGTCAGCTCGTAACTTGATCTGCAGCGTCTCTGGCGGCCTGGACGTAGATACAGCGTTTTCGCCGAAATATCTCGAGCAGTCATAATCTTTAGCGGTCAACATTTCAAGCAGGCTTGCTTCCGCCGTTTCCAAAGTTTTCCACACCTCCTCTGATTCAGTTCGCAGCGACGTCACCCTCTGCTGTAGCTGCTGCAATCGTTGCTCCATTTCCGAATGCAGCATCTTTTGCAATTCAGGTTCGGGCGTCTATCGGGGAGAAACAAACTGATGAATGGCAACTTTGCTAACGACAATGGTTATGAAGAATTTTCAAAAATTAGGATATTATTCATAATTTTCAATATATTCATTCTCTTATATTTTCGTAATTGTATTATTATTATATTAATTATTATATCAATAAAAATCACTTAAGAATACGAGTAAATCAATAAAATTAAGGATGCACGAAATCGTAAAATGTATCGGATACTGAATATCGAATATCCAAGAAGTATGTGATATTGAGTATCTGATATCCAGTCGGACATCCGGTAAGGGCATTTATCCGACTGGATTCCAGATTTCACGGATATCCGGTACAAATGCCTCAAAAAGGAAGAAAAAATAATAATTTTCTTTATTTCCTCAACATAAAAAGAAAAAGAGAAAATATGAATTGTGCAAGAAGTTTAGCTGAAAAAAATAAAATTCTGCATTAATGCGAGTAATTTTCAATATAAAATTTCATAATGGATACTATTATTGCTGGATACTATTCGGCTATCCGATCGGTAAAAATGTATATTGCCGAGTAATGGATATGTTCCGGTTATGGATATTATCCGCTGCATTCCTAATTAACCTTCAAATTCCACCCTCCCCCCGACTACGCAACCGTAACTTCCATACTGGTGCGAATTTTGCGATAGATCAATTCGAATTCGCCTAATTCGATTTACCTCATCTCCACGCTGTCCTTGGAACTCAAATTTCTTGGGAATCATGAAGGCCGCGTGATGAGATTCCAGGAATCTTTGCTTATCCGCTCGGGAGTCGAGTGCACCGACGCACGCAGCTAATTGTTCGGCACCAGATTGCAAGGAACGCTGCCTACCCTCCTCCGCGCTACAGTGCATCAACAGTGCCCTTGCTATGCAATTGTGGAATCCAAAATCCATGCACTAAGGATGAAAATAAATGCATCTTTAATCTTCATTTATCTCTTATTCCATGAACAAATTACGTTATATTAATGACTAAGAGTAAAAGTTCTTCTTTATAGTTTAGGATTTCAATCTTAGTAGAGACTCAGTATTACGAAAAGTATAGAAATTAAAGTAAGTTAAATCTAACTTTTCCTTCAAAGTTTTTCGATCCTTTATATTCATTTTTATGAACTCGAGTATGGATGAACAACTTACATCAATGAGATCGGACAGGTCGTCGACGAAATACTTGTGTATCGTTGTGTTTGAAGCTTCCAGGCACAGGATGTATTCATTTCTCGCTTTGAGTGCTTTTAGTTTCGCCTCCTGATATTTGCTCTTCCTCTGAAAATGGAATATTTCGAATTAATGCGTCTTACTTTGAAGATTGACCGAAAAGACTAAGGCAAGTTTAATTGATTTTATTAATCAATGGTGTCGACTAGTGTATTAATTAATTTTACTGATTCTCCGGGATAAACTTCTTCGTCTCACTTTTCTCCTTAAAGATTGTTCACGTTAACTCTGCTCATATTATTACGATTAAGATTCTCATTTTACCAACAAATAATATTTATGTAGCTCTCATGCATTTTGTGCACATCTTGATGCTTTCAACGGTATTTCATCTATTAGTATAATGATATTGTATTAAGAACTTTTTTTAAGAAAAGTATGTAATTTGCGGACCAATCATTCGCTCTTTATATATTAAAGACAACACAGTCCTCTGGATCAGGCTTCTCCATCAACAAAGTAATCTTGCAGTTGTAGCAAAAATTATTTACATACGAAAAATTAGCTAAAATAGATAAATTTTTAGTAAGTATTGCGATATGTTTTGCATTTAATTATGTAGATGATAAAGATAGAATTTAGATTTGTGCCATAAATTCTATGCCTCTATAATACTTAACTCTAGCTGTACACACTTGTTTTTTGCACCCTACTTGTACACTTGGGATCCTATTCATATTTATAGTATTACTGTAACTTCTGTTAAAATGAATTTCAATTAATTTTTTTTTCCGTCGATGGAGAATTGATTAAGGAATACGCCTACAATGTGTAAAAGTCGATAGAATTAAAAAATTTCAAGATATATAGGTTCAAAGAAAAAGAAAAGTTCGAAAACGCGAAAAAAATCTCGATTTACCAGTTGCGCTGGGATCTCGGGGATCCCAGTGTGTGCAGCTAGGGATAATTTTCCATTAGATACAAAATAGTGATAATTCTAGCTGGAGTAGGAAAATATTTTTTTGCGCGATATATCATTTTTTTACACTGCAGGAATGTCTTAAATCGAATCTAAATCAATATTATGATATCGGCTCCCGTTGATATCGTCATTACCATTTGGCGAAATATATGAGTCGTTGCTAACATGTTTTTACTTAAGGCTTCCTCCGACTCTTATTTTTAAGTAATTTAATCCAATCATTAATTTAAAACAAGTTAATTTAGACAGAAATATTCCTCGCGTAACAGAAAAGACAGAATTTAAATTAAAAAATAAAATTTTAAACACTTTCTTCATTTTTACCAATAAAATTTCATAAAAATCTCTTATTTTCAAGAGTAAAAAAGAAATTCTGTGGAAATTCTAATTTTTTTTTAGGTTTTAATAAATACTCTATTATGTATAGATTTTATAAACAAGATTTATATATTTTTTAAATGCAAGCGATGACGATCGAGTTCAATGACTGTGTCAAGGATTCAATGTTACACGTGGTGTTAATCTTTTTCTCTCTTGCTCTGTTTTTTTTTCTCCTAGTCGCGTTTGGTCTCCTACACTTCTCTCTTGCGTCTCTCAAGTGTCTCTTTCACATCAAGGCCGCTTTGTCTTATCGCACTTATAACCACTCGAAGGAGACTGCTATTTATTTTTCTATCGAGTTATATGTGCCCGACAAAAAAGTCCACTGACAGGTCCTAAATTCTCGGCTGGCGTTTGCTCGGATTGGAAGAAGATAGGGGAAAAAACCTGGAGAGAGATACAGATTCTTAACGTCTCTCTTTCGATTCACTCCGCAAATGATCCCAGATGTAAGCTGAGAAAAAATTCTTTGTATCCCCAGAGATCTTGAACACATGCGAACAAAACGGTAAAACATGTGGTCCTCGTAGAATATTTAGACACAAACGCATTTATCACAGAGCAAAAATATGGACGAATAAATGCCTCTAACGTCTTTAGTCAAATCTCTCCAGATATACTCGCTTGCTTGCTAAAAGAAAAAGATTAACTAAAAAGTCACGAAGTTTATTTAAATCTTGTTTAAAAAATTTCTAGATTTTTCAGATATTTGTATATCTTAAAATTTTTTCATGCAATTTTGAAATAAATCGAAATAAAAGTAACACGATGAACTCTCTATTATGCAGTTAATGGAAAACATAAGATTATACCAATTTTTTTCTACAATTGAAACCGCGAAGTCTATATGATAGTAAAGAGATAACTTGTTTTAATATAATATTAAATAGAGGCTACTCTCTTCTACTATGTGTATCGTCTTCTATGATTATCTTGATTTTTTTAAATAAAAACTTGTAAACATAAGATAATACACTTGAATGTACACGGACATATATATTTTGTGTATTGTTCGATGTATTGTTAACCAGTTATTGATATTTTGGATTATAAAGAAGAATAATAAACCAAAGAAAATAAACCATTTTTATTTAAAAAGAGAAATAAATTTTTTAAAATAAAATTAAAAAAATTTTCCTGAATCCAATAAAACGGCTGACTTTGAAATATTGAATCTTCGTACAATCTCACAAAGTACTTTAAAAGTTTTAATAAGAAAATTTTATGATTTGAGACAGAGAGAGAGAATCTCGAAATTAAAATAGTTGCGCTAAAAAATTACAAGAAATTAATCAAGAATTAATTTCATAATTTTATACTTGTAGGAATTACTTCGGGAATATTACAAAAGACCTTGTACAAATTATAAGGAAAAGTGGTTTCAGTTAAAATGGCTGAATTTTTGATATGTGTAATTCTCGTCATTCTGAATGTCTCAATGAGTAGAAGGAAGTGAATCATGGAGTCACGTATATTGTCGAAAAGCTCGTATTTTAATACGTTATAATTGGACCTTTTAGGATTTATAACGGACATGGTTCATAAGATCAAGTTGTGCTTTTTGAGATATTTGTTCAGAATGGCAAGACTATAACATATATTAAAAATTCAACTAATTCAACTGAAATCACTTTTTCATATAATTTGTACGGAGTCCTTCATTAATTTGACTGAAAAACGTGCGGAAAATTTTCAAAGGTTTTCTCTTTTCGTCTTGATTTTTCATTCTACAGTCATTATTTGTACCATTCTTATCACACGGATTTGAATTGTACAATTCTGGAAACGAGTTTTCAAAGGCCCGGAAGAATGAAAGTCGTGTTTCAGGTTCGAGACGATTATCCGTTCAATTTCGCGAATAAAATAGTCAACATTGAACAAAAAGCGGAGCAATTGTTAAGACTGATGATGACGCAGATGCTTAACTCGGACATCCTACGATTGGCCTGGATATTGTCTATCCGACGACACAATGTGTCGCATCGTTCGTCTGCATTTTTATCTACTGTCTGAATGTTTTCGTCAATTCGCACTTTAGGTATCGAGTGAATGATATTTTGTGCAACAGATATTTTTACTTAATAATACATGTGGTGAAGAATATAAAATACTATCGAGACGAGAATCAATCAATTAAAATTAATTAATTCTTCAAACTTAATTCTTTCAAAACAAATAATGCGAAAATTATCCATTTAGTTAAAAATAATTAAAAAGATAATTTTCGAATTATTTGTTTTAAAAGAAATAAAGTTTGGAGAAACGTAAAAAAATTGCTGATGTAATGTAAATGATATAAGTAAAATTATATATAATTAGAGGTATAAGCAATTTTTTTACATTTCTCTAAATTTGATTTTTTCTACAACAAACAACGCTGAAATTAGTTTTGAGGTTTTCTTCTTCTTCATCTTATTATTATTATTATTATTATTATTATTATTATTATTATTATTACTATATTATTTTCTTATTACACTAAAAGTAACTTTATAAAAAGAAGGATGTATGAAAATTTATGGACATATTTCATATATATAATTATAAATATTTATGAATATTTATGCGTATTTGTGTATGTTTATATATATTTATATATAGGGATGGGAAATAACTCGTTAACGAAGTTATAATTAGAGTTACTTTTTTTTAGTAACTGTAACTTAACTTCGTTACTTTCTTTCCATCTGTAATTATAACTTAACTTAGTTATATATATGTTTTAAGTAACTAGTAACTTATTTAATAATTACTTTCATAGTTGTTTTATATATTTTAAACTTATTTGTCAATTTAGTGTGCGATAGTATCCACTTGAAGCTACAAACGCTTCGAAACATTTGATTAATCAGAAGAAAGACATTTAATTAAGTTTAATAACAGTTTAATAACATTTAAAGCGTTCAATGAACTCTTATACCTGTTTGGTCTATATTTTTGGATCTAATAGAATCCGCCAATCAAATGCAAGAGCACTCAGTGAATGATTGTAGTACTAAACGCACCTGACCACTAAACCGTTGTTTTCTAAACATAATCACGTGACCCATTTTGAATTAGTGCTGGAATTTATTTGCAACTTTTAACCGAATATAAAAAGATTTTTTTTTACAAAAAACATTGTATATGTGTGCTATTTCATATTTATATGTGTTTATATTACTTTAACGAAAAACGTCTTTACCATACAATTTTCTTATCTTTTTGAATAAAATTGTATAACATGTAAATGTAAACCAGTCTTTTTTTTAATTATCTTAGTGTATCATTCTTGTTTAATATTAGATAAAAACAAGGGTAAAAATGATACACGAAGGCAGTCGGTAACGTTTCTGAATGCAGCCTTAATGGTATCGATGCTACTACTGAAAATTCCGATGAAAAGAAAGTAACTCAAAAGTAACTTAAAAGTAACTTAAAGTTACTTTTTCAGTAGCTGTAACTGTAACAAATTGCTTTTCGGAATCAATAACTTGTAACGGTAATTAATTACTTTTTGAAAGAGAAAAACTGTAACTGTAATTAATTACTTTTACAAAGTAACTTTCCCATCTCTATTATATATATTTATATATATTAGGTCAATCGAAAAGTTCCGTCCGTTTTTTTTTTTGCAAAAAGTATAATTTTATTTAAGAAGCAAAATGAAAAAGTACATCAATCAAAATATTGTCCATTGTTAGCAATGACTTTTTCCCATTTTTCGGGCAGCAGCGAATTCCGCGGCGAAAGAATGACTCATCCTTGGAGACTCCAGTCAGAAACAAATTTATTGACGTCTTCATAAGAATTGAAGCGTTTCTTAACAAGTGCGTGTGCCATCGACCGAAACAAATGGTAGAAAAGGGCACAGTCTGATGAATAAGCCGCATGGGGTAGCATTTCCCAGCGAAGTGCTTCCAATGTTTCCTTAACAGCTTTAGTGACGTGAGGTCGCGTTGTCATGAAGCAAAATCACTTTATGATGTCTTGTCTCATATTCTGGTCATTTTTCGCGCAATGCTCGGTACGAACGGATTATTTGTTCTCGGTAGAAATCCTCTATGACTGTTTGACCAGATTTCAACAACTCATGGTACACTACATCCTTCTGGTCCCACCAAATACAGAGCATGGCCTTCTTGCCATGAATATTGCGTTTTGGCGTCGATGTCGATGGTTGGCCTGGATCGCAAATGGTTTTTTGGCATTTAGAGTTATCGAAATAGATCCACTTTTCATCGCCAGTCATAATTCGATGCAAAAACCCCTTTCTTTGTTACCTAGCAAACAGAATTTCGCAGGTGGTTTCTCACCTTTCAATGTATTGTATCTTGGCTTCAGTTCATATGGGACTCATTTTCCTTTTTTGTAGACCTTTCCTAACGCTTTTAAACGATCGGAAGTAACAGATTGATCACAATTTAATGCTTTTGCAAATTGTTTCTGCGTTTGACATGGGTCTTCATCCATCAATGTCTGCAATTTTTTATCTTCAAATGCTCTTGGCCGTCCAGAACACTTTCTATCCTCCATATCAAAATTACCACTTTGAAAGCGTCGAAACCATTCTCTGCATGTTTTATTCGGAAGGAGCACTATCACCATAAACTTCTACAAGCATTCGATGAGCTTTAACTGCAGTTTTTTTCCATTTCAAGCAAAAGATTAACACTTCGCGCAAATAACGTTTATTTGGCTCAAATTTCGACATTTTCGATGCAGTAAGAAACAATGTTATTGATGCAAACGTATACTTTTATATACTGAATTTTATTGACAAAAAACTGAAAAATTAAGCTTGATTTAAACATTAGAGTTATCGACGGTTCCAGCTATATAGATACTCGCCGCTAATCGGACGGAATTTTCCGATTGACCTAATATAAATTTCTTTACCGGATAATGAAAAATTATGCGCAAAAGAGTTAATTTTTGAAAAAGGACTCATCGAATCACCAACAAATTATTAAAATCAAGCATCTCATCTTTAATTCAAATTTTTAATCCACGTTGATTTACAACATAATAAACCGGCACTGCCAACAGACAATAATTCTTGAAAAAAAAAAGGTACAAATACAAATAGTAGGACATGTGAACAGTACCCAGACTCGCAAAAGGGATATGGTTTCCAAATTCTAAGCCCGCCATATATACTTTCATCATGGTTGTACTCGGCATCTCGCAGCCTGAGGTTTTCTCGTATCGTACGAGGTATCCGGCGTCCAGCAACTAGCGGCAATCTTGTCCATCAGCTAACTGAGGAATACTAACCCCCTCAAGGCTCGATAAGAAGGAGAAGATATTACAACGCAAAGTTCGGATCTGAAACTTTTTATAACATTGTTGTTGTCTTCATTGTCGTTATTATAAATTATTATCAACGATTCCAAAAGTATATTGTTGCAACTTCTAGTGCAAGAGGCGCTGATGATGCATAAGATTAAAGTTGGGAATGTGTCATACCATACGTATCATAATCAAGGTCTAATCTCCTCCATATCCAACTTCTGTCTTGCCAACGAACTACACAGCCCTACCGCTAATAGTTTCTTTATTGTGCCTTTTTCCTCTTTTCCTTCAATTTCCAAATTACATGCGTCCCGGATGTACAGTCCTAATATTGCAATATTGAACAAAGTTCCTTTAAGCCCAGTCTGATAATACATGCGATTTGAAACGTCCCCATAGCATTTTCCCGCCACATATACGAGTGACAATCTTTTTTCAGAATCATCGGGTATCCCCATGGCATACATCGCCATCTATTGGACGACCATCCCCAAATTGTATTCTTCCATTAAGGCATCCATTGGTTCTCCTAAGCAATTTCTAAATTTGCTATTTTGATTGTTAGTTCCAGTCCCTCTTTTACCGAATCATTCCGAGCATACTTCGGGCATCTTCGCCACCGGCTCCAATTCCTAAGGCAGTTGATTCCAGAACATTTATTTTTAAATCCTAGCCCTCTCTCTCCGAGAGGTACATAGCGTGTTCAATCCCACTTTTGAAGCTGTAAGTAATAAACGACAGCACGAGAAAAATATCAGAGTGCTTCGAACCGAGGCTTAGTCTCCTCCATATTATGTGGTAAACTTCCGTTCTGCCACCGAGCCACGCCCTAACGCTGATAGCTTCTCTGTGTGTTGTATTTATGTTTCTTCTAAATTCCTTGCAATACAAACAAATATGATACCACTTTTCATATATATATATATGCACATCGTACGTCATATAATCTTTTTATAATATTATAATCCAATATTTTTATTTAGGTAATTTAAACTAATTCAGATGGCGAAATATTTCAAATAAAATGTTTCATAACAAAATGACAAAAATTGTAAACAAAATGTGAATTTCATTAATTTATTTAAAATATTAAATAATATATGTAGGTGCATGCTTTGAAGAGTTTAATTATAATTAATCTATAATTATAGGAAGATGATCCATGATGTTGGTAACATCTAAATTACATGTTAATTTTGACCATTTTTAATTAATTTATAAATTGACTATTCGAACATCTTTTTAAGTAATTTCTACGACGATTGAATGTTGAACCATGGCTGTGTAGATATTTGGGCTTCCACTCATTTACACATGACTTTCAAATCATGTGAGACAGTTTGAAGACTAGGAGAGCAGGCACTTTCCTACACACTCATAGCATATTAGAAGGATATTCTTTGTGAGTAACTACTGAAGATGGCCCGGATGTAGGCCGAAATGTCTAGCATTTAGTATAGTATTCATTCATGTAGTAATTAAAAAATGTTTATTTGATCGCACTATTAACAGCGAATTGCTCTCATTAGCCCTAGATTTTTCATTTTTTATTGAATAGATTTAATTATAGACTTTTTCGTAATTAATTATTATTAATTTGGAAGATAATATATATGACAGATATCGAAAATTGATTAGAAAATTACGACATGATTAGATTGGATAATATATGTATGCTTTAAAATTATATATATTGCAGCAAGTAATTAAATATTCTAAAATTATAAGTATAAACGGGCGTATCAAGTATGCTGCTGTTAAAAGAAATCTTGCTCATTTTCGAGGTTTTGTATCTATTATACCATTTTCTACTTGTTTATCGATATAAAAATCTCTTTTCTTCTGCGTCTCTATTGTAGGTATTCTACGCTATCTATTCTATTTCGTTTTCTTATTTTTATGTCTTTTTTATACATTTTAGAAATCTTCCATATTTTGAATTAAGTCTATTATAATTAAGAAAAATTATCTTAAACAACACAGTCTTAAAGGATGAATGTTCACATGATAAGGATGTCTTCAAGATGCCGCACGGAGAACTATGTTCTATCGAACTTTTTAAAATAAATGTAATTAAAATATTATTTTGATTTCACTTCTGTTTTATGATATTATTATTTTTGGTTTTTTATTATGTTTTTAAATATGTCTTTGTTTTGATATATTTGCATAAAAATATTGAATTTTAATTTTACTTCCTTTTTAAGAGATTTTTTTATTCTTTTTGTTATGATTTAGAATATATTTACAAAATGATGTAAAGATATTACAATATTGCAATATACTTGACGCTTTTTTTTTACATTTTTAATGTTTTTTTCTGATAATCTGTATTAATCATAACATACTCGCGCGAAATTGACTATATCGTTGATTTATATTAATTATATTATAATATATAATTAAACTATATATAATTTAACTAATAATATAGGTTTAATTTAATTGATTAAACTAAATTCAATTGCATAATAAGAGTTTTTTTTTATTTCATATAAATAAAAATTTTGTTTAATGTGACTATATATATGATAGATATAAATGCAGATTAGAAGAGCCCCCTCCCCAATGACCTTCACATATATTGTCAAGGACATCACTCTAAGTGATCTCCAATAGGTTTTAGTCGTTCGTTATTCGTTAAAAAATCATTAATAATAATCAAAGTTCGTAATTATTTCACTATTTTGCGAATGACTCTAGATAGAGAGGAAGTATAGAGTGAAATGGGGTATAAATTATGTTCTCTTGGACGGCGAAAACTTGTTGAAGGTTAGGATCATGACCTTGACAACATATGTTAAAGTCAAGATCATCGGCGGTTGCTCCCATTTTCTGAAGTTTTATCCCTCTTTCGTTTTCGAAAATTAAGCGCCGATATGAATACTCTTGCCAAGAAATATACAAAATTCAATCTTTAATATGTTCTATTCTACAAACCTACCTTGTTAACTTCCTTTTCGATGAGCTTGTACTTCTTGCTGCGTGCAAGTTTCTCACGACTGTCCGCGTTCGCTACCTCGAGTTTGTTACGTTGCTGTTCGGCGACGCGGAGCTTCGTCTCCGCTTGCCTGGACTCAGCCTGATAGGCCTGATAAGTCTTCATTGTCGTGTGTAGCTCGTGCAGCACTCGAAGTATCTCCTCGTGCGTCTCATAGCCGATTTCGCGACACTGTAGTAACAGATATCGAAAAGTAATGGCAATGAAAAACATACAGAGAATATGATCTCTCTGTAACGTGAAAATTAATTTGAATTAAATGTATTAGAAACAACATTTTTCCTTCTGAAAGAATTTACAGTTATACAGAAACATGTGTAACTAAATTTTTACAAGACGTATAGAGAATGATTCTTAAGTATTTTAAAAGATATAAGTAAAGAAGGCTATATTGGGTCAAAGCGAATCTTGATGTTTGATAATATTTTTATATGAATTTTTGAAATTTTTAGTTCAAGTAAATTGTAAGTCATGCACAAACAATTAATCGGTGTTAGCTTGTTTAAACTGGAAATTTTTAAAATTCATACAAAAATAAATATTATCAGGTACCAAGGCTTGTTCTGAATGAATATGGTCTTCTTTGTTTATTAGTATTAAACATTTCTGTTTAGTCAATTTTCATTTATTGCTTATTCTAAAAAGAGTTTAAGAGATGATTCCTCACAAATAATTGTAGCTAAAGTTAAAATAATTTGAGTTCGAAATTTTTTAAAAGAACGAAATTTTTCCTACAATACTTTGATAGACTATATTTTTTAAACTAACCCGTTTCAGATATTTAGAGAGCGTTCGAGGAATTTATTGTTACGCGATAAACGCCAATACTGCGAACTTTGTTCAGGAAGCTAACTAAGATAGGCATTAGCGCGACTACCAGCTGACAATACTAACATAGCGTTAGCACTTTTTAATCTCAATTAATATTAGAGGAATTGAATCTGACGATTTTTCTAGAAAGACTGTACGAGCCAATTTGGTTTCAAGCACATTTTTTTGTAAATAACAAATAAAAAGGAACCAAACGTATAGATAATCACAAATTTATTAAATTTATTTAAAGTTATAAAACTTGGAAACAAAATCATAAAACATATAGGTATACGAATGCAATACGAACCAAACAGACACAATCATTGAATGATTATATAATCTTCCATCATACATATTATAATTGTATGAATTTTCCCTAGTGTTTAATAGCACTCAGCAGTGTTTGCAAAAATTTAATACTAGCGCTGCTAATCATTGCCAATACCTCAAAAAGGGTAATGTTGCAGTGGGGGGGTTATAACATCAAACGCCGTCTTTAATGTTGTATTTATATAGTATATACATTATTTATATAGTATTTATATACAGTATTTATATAGTATATATATATAATATAATACCTACATATAACTCCCCGAATAGCTACTACACCAAAAAGCTGACAGTAAACTCTCTGAATACACTTATAATTAAAACACTAAAGATATAGGTATTCTCATCCATTTCTTGTCCATTCCCTGCTCCTTGATCTCTCGCAGTCTGGTCTCGCTGAGTCACAGCTCAGTTCAGCGGGGGCGAAACCGCGGGAGGGCAAGAAGTGGAAGAATGGATGAAAAATGGCGAATGAGAATACCTACATATATCTTTAGTGCCTTACTTATAACCATATGAAATTTTCGTCTTGAATTAATGTAAGAAACCATCCCTTAAATCTTTTGAAACAATAAAAAAAACTTTTTTGGAATATAATAATAACACTTTTAGTTGAATAATAAAAAACATCTTTTGGAATACTTAATAATCACCTTGTATAAGAAGAGTGCAATAAGAGATTCATAAAAATATAATTGTAGAAATAAAAACAAAGATGCGTGTAACTGTAAAAGAATGTGAGAAGCACCGTCGAGAATTTCGTTAGAATCAGTATTCGTTTCTGTTTCCAGCACCCGGTATATACCTATATCAATAACGCCATCAAGTTATGGCAAAACGTCACGACGGTTGGCAATGGTAGAATGCAGACATTCGAGGCAATTAATTTGACGAGACAATGAAGCCAGTCGAACTTATCACGGCGGCGCGCGGTAATGTAATTGCGCGATCCCGACTTAAGTCGCTAACATTATCTTGTACCGCGTGGTGGCGTACGACACTTACACGTTTATAAATTCGCTGCACGTCCTCCATCACCTGATTGAGACGGCCCACGAGATGGGTGCTGTAGACTTCAGATAGGGCGGCATGGTCCCTGCTGAGGGACTTGGTCTCGTTTACGAGCTGCTGCCAACAGGCGTAGCTGGAGAATAGGGGCCATTGTTCTCGCCTGCGGAAAACGATAGATAAGAGGCGATATGGAATCGACGGCGGATGTGCATGTTCCGCACGTGTGTATATCGATATAATTACATCGGCAATTAAATTGACTGCTAACGAGTCGATAAAGTGTCGCATTCGCATCGTCTTGCGAATACACATCGTTCCGTCCTTACATTTGCGGTGTTTATACATATAACATAATAGTAGTAATATCAGTAATATCAATCACGTGCAATATGAATCCACGTGCTCGTTCATCCATCTCTAATGCGCTATATACAATGTACATATATATATATATATATATTCTTAAATTGAAGATAAAATAATATTTATGCCAAATAAGCAAATTGTCTAAAATCGTCCTGTTTTATAAATCAATAAGATTATTTTGACATTATATGTATAATTTCTGATCACATTATTAGATATATCATATTTTTTTACCATTTATTGATTTTCAAAAAACAGATTTATTTTTATTATAATCCATTTATTAATATACTTAATCAATTGAAATATAAAAAAAATAGTGGCGTAAAAAAAGTTTTATATTATAAATGCATTTTAAATTGCAACATTCATGTAAACATAAAAATCTGTTAACAGTTGCAGAGATAGTACAAAAGAAAACGCATATTTATGCTGTTTCTGTTGAAGAAATTTCGTTTTGTTTATTTATTTGTCAAAGTAAACTTTTAAGTTTAACACATAGTGTTATATATTCAGTAATGCATTTAGTGTAATACATTAAATAACATTAATATTATGTTAGAATTGGTCATTGGTAATATTGTATTAGAATTAGTCATTTAATAACTTATTGTTTTTAAAATTCCAGTAGTTTTGGCGGTAATTTTAGAGTTAGAAAATCGTTACTAGAAGTACTAAATTCTAAAAAAAAATTTTGTTGAAGTTTAGTCGAATTCGTGCGAGTCGCATCCTCGAGGTTGAATAAATAACTTTTTACTTATCGACCTAATCATTTCTTATCATAATAATTTCTTGTAGAATTTTTAAAGTAGATACGTACTATCTCAAATAATTATTTTACATTCCTGTTTTCAATTTGGAGATTCTTATTTTCTTGTTTTATCAAAATGTAAAGCAAAGAATAAAGTACCAGAAAAACGCCTAAATTGCAGGTAATTTATTAATTTATACATATATTGTATATATGTTTATTAATTTAATTATTTAATAAAAAATACCATAAATTTGCCTGCATACAAAAATTAAAATTCTTAGAAAGCACAAATATTATCAAATTGTAATAATAAAATCTAACTAATACGAATACAAAACCAATAACAGTCTAGCTTGGATCTTATGGTATATAATTTTGCGTGAATTTATATATTAATATGTGTAGTCTTTCTAAACTGCGCGCCGAACGATTGCCAGTCTTGAAACGCAACTCTAATAAATTACCGCAGTACCATCATGAATTAAATTGATTAGTCTGATTGGCTAGGACAATTGCGCGTAAAGCAAGCGATAATATTTTTTCGAGGTAATATTTTTCGCAATAAGAAGAATTATTGGTTTCAGATTTTAATATAGTTTAACATCGATATAAGATGCCAAAATCATCAATTAATTATTAAATTGTTAATCAATTTAAGTTAGACTATTATAGGCTTTGTATTCGTATTAGTTATGTTGTTACATTTATATCAAACAGTCTTTAATAAAATCTAAATTTGACAAACTCTAGTCCCGTCCCGATTATTTACGCGTAATTTAATGATTAAGTCCCGACAAATGGTTTCTTAAAGTTCCAGTAATACTGGTGACAGTTCTAGATGATACTCTAAAGGAACTTGCCAACAAGAAACACAGATGACACAATGTTACACAGTGAATCCTTGTTGTTCGCCAATATTAAACAAATATGAAATGATCACTGTGTTATGCAATGTCGCTTGTTGGAAAGCTCCCTAAGTACTAAATCTGTTTTGTATAGTAACAGTATGCGTAATTCTTTGATATATATTGCCAGTTACACGCACATAAAAAAAAATTTTATAAACATTTACTGACGATAATTTTAAAACTACAAGTAGGCTAGTTGAAAAAAGGTTATCCGATTATCGACTATATAAGTAACTTTACGATAATTATATTTCTTGAAAAAGGGTGAACGAATGTGACGATGTAATTTCGAATGTGCTTTCTCAAAGAAAAAGATTATCGATTCGTGATATCTTCTGGAGCAAAATGAGGGAAACGTGCGAGTGAGAAACGAGATTGTGTTGTCGTGCGGTTACGGATTACGTTTTACCCGGGTATACCATGTACAGTGCGACAGACATCCCTTTTGTGGACGCTGAATACGCAGCAAAAGGGTGCCCCGCGTTCAGGGTTGAAAGACGAGAAGGAACTGGAGCATGTCGTAAATGCAGGAACGGTGCCAGCAGATGTGCACGCGCGTGTAGGACGTGAAAAAAATGCGAAACCGTCTACTTTTCCGTCATCCGTCCGTCGTAGAAGTGGAACGTGGAAAGCATCAATTGTACGGAATATGAGAAATATAGATCGTCGTGAGATATACGCAGAGGAATTCATTAATCTATTAACAATACGCTTCATTATGTTGTAATACTAATGTAATATTAACTGTGAAATATGTACAGCCTTGACCGTAAGTATACAAAACATCCCCACAAATTGACTTACATGGTTTATATTTGATAAAAAATATCATAAATTAAAAAACAATTTTATTGAAAAAGTAATATTTATTTTTATAGATATGTTAATACTTTATTAGTTCTAATTTGACTTTTATTACCGATTTTCTAAGAAATTAAAAGCGCTTCATATTTTTTACCAAAACTGTAACTTTAAACTTTTCGTAATATCGACACGATTTTATATATTACAATAGTTTTACTCAAAATAAAAAGAACCCGTAATTATAGAGTTCAATTTTCTTACAATGATAATATTGTATAAAGAAAAATATTTGCGATACATAAAATTGTTTTCATATTATGGAATGTTTCTCCAAACTCAAACAACACAAAAGACATCCAATGTGAACAATTCAGACATCCTGATAACGTCCTATTTTAATCCTAGAATTTCCTGTCCTGAGGAAGGTCAAATAACAGGCCTGAATCATCCCAAGGATCGTGTGGAAAATCATAAGGATTTTGACAGGATATAAAAAGGACATCTTTTTATACAAATATTTTACGAAAAACATTTCTTCAGAGTAAAATATATTTTATATAATAAAAATATTTCCTACACAGCATACTTTATCCAAGAGAAATCCGTAAGACATCCTCTCGATCGTTTTATGATGTTCCTTGAAATCTGTCCTATGTGTGCTGGATGTTCATTAAGCTAGCACTCCCCTCTCATAAAAAAATCGTTTAAGCCTTATAATTCGAAAAGTACTTAAAAAAAAAGTAGTTTATTAGAGTGAAAGATAAGCTTGAATAAAAAAAAAAGTTTATTAGAGTGAAAACCTTTTAAGATAAGCTAGAAGAATATGTAGTAAAAAATGGAAGGTTCTATTTAAAAAAATTTAAACTTTTCGTGACCTCGATAACGCCACCCAATATCAAACTAATTATACTATTCTATGTCTCCCTTAAAGTAAAAAACCTTTTGCCTAAAACAGTTTTTGATTTAACGTAGTGTTTATGAAATATTTGAGTAGATTTTTTAAAATAGGACACCCTATATACTTTCTTATATAACATTTAAGTTTCTGAATTATATTAAACTTTGATATAATTAAATGATATCATATATGCATATTAAATTTACATAAAATGATAAAGTATCTGTATTTATTAACACTAAAAAAATTTGAAGTCCTAAAAACATTCTATAATGTCCTGAGTCGCTCAGGATATATTTAGGATGATCCTGAGAATGTCTTGTGCTGTCTGTGGAAAGTTATTTTACTATTCGAAATTAAATATTAAAGATATGTAAACAGATTATAAAATATTATTTCAATATTGTAACTTAAATATTTAAAAAACAAGATAATTAATAAGCTCAGATGAATAAATCCAAAAAGAATGAATAAAATGCCAATATGAGTCGACACAAGTTATTAGTGTTTTTTTATAAAATTTATTCGAAATGAATAATAAAGCGTATATATATTTCGACCCTTCGATCCTTTTCAGTACAATGAAAATTGATTAAATATAAAAGTTACATACATAATGGTAGGTTAAATATTTAAAATTATTTTAATAAATTATCAAATATTATTTGTTTGTCTTACTCTTGCTATCTAGTTAAAAAAAAGTATGAATTTCTATATGTATTTTCTGCAAAACATTAATGATATAATATTAATTTTTAAGAAAAAGAAATACAATTGGTAATATTATATTAAAAAACTAAAATATTTAAGATGTTTTTTTTTCGTTAATTTTAGTGTAGTAACAGTTCTGCAATAAAATATCTAGTTTGATTTTTGCGTCAATTTATTATACATTTTACAACCGTAAATGTAATCATGCATGATCAAGATGTACAATCTCGAATATAATCACATATTCAATCAAAATTTACGTAATGTAATCGCGAAACAATTTATGTCGCGCAACGTGTAATGTAATAGTGCAAATATATTGCTGTTATACGCGTCATCGCGATTGAAACGGTGCATCGTTTCAATTGTTTCAATCAACACGTGGTACACGCATCTGAATTACAATGAATTAATTGACGCATGCGTCGTTAATCATTTAAACGTTGTAATCTTAGAAAAACCGGTAGAATTATTTTTCCATTTTGCTTTTTATATCCAGTTAATAAATCTACTTTGTAATTTATAATATTGCATTTTTAATTAAAAAAAGTAAATGTAATTATTTATTATAATATTTAAAACTATCACTATTTGTTTTAACTTTTTCTTTAAGCTGATAATTTTCTTACCATAAAATGTTAATTGAATAATAATTTAGTAATAATATCACTTTGATGTTATATAAATTTAATCGCCTTATGCATTTGCGCCGATACGATGTTTCTAAGATAGTGAAAGGAGGATGTTAAAAAGAGGATGATTTTTGCTTATAAAATAAGCAAGTAGTTATAAGTAAGCAAAAAAAATTTATTTTTTTATAGATTTTGACCTGCTGAATACGACAATGTTAATAGAAAGTTTAGGATCAACAAAGAATGCTTTGAAAAATGAGCATGAACATAATATATTTAATTTAATTTCAATATTCTTACTTACTTTGCAAGACGTTTTTCAAATGCCACAAACTTTTTAAGTTCATCATATTCAGGAAATCAAATCTACAAAAACACTCTTTTGCTTACGTCTTTTTGGGTCATTATTATCATACACCTTGAAAAGTAAGTAAGAATATTGAAATGTATTTAAATATATCATGTTCATGCTCAATTTTCAAGGTGTTTCCTATCGATTCTGAACCTTTTTTTATCAATCATTAATGTATTCAGGAGATTAAAATCTATAAAAAACACTATCCCATTTACTTACACTTTTTTTGGGTAGAAATTAGCCTCCTTTTAATATCCTTCTTTATGACCTTTTTAATTGTTTTTTATGATGAAAAATGCAAACAGGTACAATACAGAATTAATATGTAAAGATGGTGTACTCATCATACTTTTGTTTCTGCTCCTTATGTCTCAACTGTATGCTCCTAGCCATCTTGTCAAGAGACTTGCTGTAGTCTAGCTCCAGTTCTGCCCTTTTGCGGAAGAAATCCTGGAGTTCGACCACAAGGGCGACTTGTGCCTCCATCCTTACATCGAGACATCTCAGCTGCTCGTTCAGCTGTAGCCGTATATCTGTAAGCAGAGGAAAAAGGAAACCCCGTTAGTGCTCATGTTCCAATTGTAATTACGCGTTTCGGGTGTCACGAGATACACGCTCGAAGAGATACCCTTAAAATAACCCCGGAAATTAATCGTTACCGAAAGAGCTTGCGAGTCTTCTGGTAAATAAATTTTGTTCTTCTCAAAATTATAACTAATATCAAGTTGTTACTACTTCGAAAATCATAAAGGACCTCACATAATGGAAACCTTATAAAAATTGAATTTTGGTCGAATTGGATGAAAATTTTTTGATATGTTGTAGGTTTTGTCGCCCTGATAAAAAGTTTCCATAGACACGACTACCCTGTAATGAACCGTTTGACCTTTATGAAGCGTCAATCTTCAAAACGAGCTAATATTACATGTTATTTTCAACGAGCACGCTGCTTTCCAACGTCAATATTTGTACTATCTATGTATATTTTTAAGTAAAAAAATGATGAGGATAATAATGACATGATTGCCTCATACAAAAAAGCAGTAAACGTATCGAAAGTCGATAACCTGATTTTAGTAAGTACTTTTACAAGTGTAAATCTTGGAGTGAGAACGTTGAGAACGTGTTCACACATAGCACCAGTTATTTAGTACTTGGGATGGACTCGAAATCAAGAAAATGTAAGGTATTAATATATCTAAATATTAGAAAATATTTTAAATGCAAGTAACATAAATGTTGACCACATTATAGACGTAATTAAATCTGTAATTTAAACACACACACACACACACACACACACACACACACACACACGTTTTGTGCTAGGAATCACAATAATCGAGCATTCCGATTTGTGAGGAGGTTCGATTATTAATACAAATATTCGGATAATTACTAGTAAATTCATAATTTTTTATTATATAAATACTGTATAAATAAGCACGTATACCTTTAATGCTAAATATCTTATATATTATCAAAAAAATTATAATTTTGTCGCTGAAGTTAGATCATCTCTATTGATAAATAAACTTAGATAATAACGCTAAAATTATTATATAATAAAATAGTTTTAAATAGGAATTGAATATTATACACACACACGCGCGCGGAGGGGGGGAGGAGGGGGGTAGATAATTGAAAACTCGAATTTCCGAATAGCGAAATCACATCAATTGGAATACGCTCATTCGTTTTGCCATAACTGATCATAGGGGCTTTGTGAACTTGGCACCCGATTTACAGAAATATTTTTTTCCGAAAGATCTTTGTATGTAGTTGAATGTAGTAGCGCAGAAAAAAAATATCGCGACTTAAAAAAATGTCATCCCGGACTTTGAAATTAATCAATATTTAAGGATTGTCTCTTATAGAAAAACGATTGTAAAATTTCCTTTTGTAGTTGCACCGTTCGCAACTTATTTAAATAATTATATCTCGCGAATGATGCAACTACAAATGAAAGCAAAAGCACTACAAACAACTGCAAATGATTCTGAATCGAGCTCCGCAAGATAAAAATTCGACAGCAACAAATTTTTTTCCTTGGCAACTTGTTAGCAACAAATGAACAACAAATAAAAATGTTAGTTAAAATCGATTCTGTTCACTTTGTTTCACTAACTTATAAGATTGTCTAGGTACAAAAATTGTCCTGCTGAGATGTATCACAGTTACTTTCGTTTTCAAAGTTTGGATTTCTTTTAGATCCAATGAAATTAGTTATTGCAGTACCTATAGGAATATATTATAACCGGCACAATATATGAAAAATTAATTTTTGATATCAGGAGCAAACGTAATTTGAATAAATTGACAAATTATAACCTGTACGGAATAAAGGAAAAATTCGTATGAAACTCCTAAACACAAATGCAGCTACATACATATAGCTCCATTGAAAATGCGTATTTAAAAGACGGCAACAGAAGTGCTTAATCTGTGAATATTGGAAGAATATTTCTTAAATACGGAAAAAAAACACATAAATAGGGCGTGAGTAAGATTAAATCCAGAGCTACAAATCACAAGTCGATTGCATAAAGCGCGTATTTAATTGGTCGCCCCTTCAAATTCGAATCCAATGCTATGCCTTTTATTATATTCTACTAAGTCGTTCTGTCTATATAAACTAGAAAAATCTAAATGTTATATCTTATTTTATTATAATATATTGTGAGGTCTCTCGTAAGTATTTAATGTAGTTGAGTCGCCATTATTTCGTTATGAATTAATAGATAATATGCAAATATTATTGCCGTAATTATATTTTTATAGTGTTGAGTACCATAATAATTGCTATTACTCTGTAAAACTACTTACAGATATTTAAAATTTCAAATTATACCAAATTTAATTATAATACGATTATTTCGTCTTCTTTCAATCTCTCTCTCCCCTCACCTTCCTTCTCTCTTCATATAGTATAGTCCTAGTACGAAATAAATGTATTATATTATAATATAAATCATAATAATTTCAAATATTAAACTATCAAGATATGAATATAGTAAATAAAATATACACATTTTTATGTAGTAGATGCAATTGCAATTATATAGTGAATATATAATTATTTTCTTACATTCGCTTACATTTACTAATAATAAATAATAAAAAAAAGAAGAAACAATTATTATTTTTACGACATAGTTGTATACTCAAATAAAAAGACATAGTGGAAGCAACTGCAAAAATAATAATTTGTATAGAGATAACAAGTACCTATTATGGAAATAATAGCGCTGATATAGAAATAATAGCATCGCAAGTAAGAAAGAATATCGTAAAATAATTGTGAATATGACGATAAGCGCTAAGACGGTTAGGAATGAACGCCGAATATGAGGAAGGCTAATGTTGAGAAATCAAGAGAGAGCTCGACGAGATAAGAATTCCGCTCGAAAGAGTGATGCCAGAGAAGAGTAGCAGCAGTCTGGAGCAGTGGGTCATGCCCGAGATAGATTAGAGCAGTGGCGCAAAGTACCCACGATTTATTAGAGATCCTCAAATCCATGGGCCTGATAATTACTATACGGTGGCTACTGCCTTGAAGATCGCAGCAGGATTACGAAACCCAGACCGTCCATATACGATAGAGCGATGACATGGCTTGAGAACATGAGCTCTTCTCAAAATCGGCGTAAGAGACTGGCGGATATCGAGATGCTAGTAGCAATCTAGCACGAAGCAAGAAGTTGACTGGGTTAGTCCATTAGTTAGTGCAGGTCCTTTTTTTCCAGAACGCGCTACTAGAAATGACAGATACGTATTGCGAAATAATTATATTTAATATCCTGAAATCGGAGTAGTTCGAGAACATATTCGGAAATCGAGCGTAATACAAAAATATTCTTAAATATATATTCATCACGATTAAATTCGTCGTGAATAAATTAATATTGCTCTCATACTGAGTTATTTCTGTAGGCAAATCTCCGTCGTCGAATTTACAAAGTAACAAAATGAATTGTGAATCTTAATAGTATTAAATAATATTAAGATATGAAGTATATGAATCGATTAATTTGTAATTTGGAATTTGTGCGTTTAGATTTGTAAATAAATATAGATATATTTTTTTTAATATGAATAGTTAATATCTCTTTACTTGTCTTTCGTTAAATATCAATAAGAATTTCCGTTACAAACTATACAAGTTTTATATACAGAATTAATATACATATAGTATACAATACACTTAAAAAAACTATTTATAATTATTAAATCTATAAAATAGTTTATTTAACTATGTACATTAATTTTACAGATAGTATATTTGTCACTTTATTAAAAATATAATCATCTCTATCTGTATGTGTATTTCTCTGAGTAAATACACAAATTAAAAAGTAAAATCTAAATGGTACTATCTTTATTATTTACTTAACTCTAATGATATATATCATTTGTATAAAAGGCTCGATATCAACAACTGGCGCTTGATATCAACAAGTTATCACACACTTTGAGTATTTAATTTTCTTTTAAAACATTATAATAGCACAATATATACTAATGTAAGTGACATACTGCTAGAACAATTAAGAAAAAAGTTAGAAATTGCAGGTATTGAAAATGAAAGAACAAACAAGACAGACCGGGGATATTGCAATAAAATTCCGCCAAACAAAAAGTGCACAAAAGAGTATGTTTTATGAAGGAGTAAAAATATACAACACGTATGAAGTAAAGCAATGTGAGAGCCATTTATAGTAAGAGATTGTTAAAAGAATATATAATATTCAATGTTATTTAGGTTTAAGATTATATATGTATATCATTTTATTGTACTTCTTGAAATAGCTGTGAAAGCTAATAAAGATCATTCATTCATTTTTTCTTTCTCTCCCTTTCTCCGTAGTAATTCGTATTCTATCGATGTTATCCGTAAGACAATGACGAAGAAACAACATCTTAGCTTCTCAAGACAACTGAGTTAAAAATAAACGGCCGTATGTGACGTGAATAATTTATCGTTTTGTAGATTGCCAGGCTTTGCCGAGATAAGGAGACCCCTTTTACACTGAGCACTTGATATGCGTATTAACTATAATAACTTTCTATTAAATTGTGTTAATTTTTACAATAATATTTAAGTATATGTACAATAATAGTTAATGAATAATGTACAATAGTGTATATGTATCAAAATAATTAATTAAATAAATAAATATATATATATGTGTGTGTTTATAAGTATTTTGCCGAAATTAAAATAATTCGATAGAAAGTTAGTACTCGTATCAAACGCACGATATAAACTAGGCCAAAGACACATGTTTGCGTATGATTTATTGTCGCGACCGTGCGTACGCGCGCGGATCTCATTTCCGTTCCGAAACTTCCTTTGACTTCGATAATATAAACGACGCGGAGTGATTACGGTCGAATACATTATTCGCATAATCCATTATCGGATATGAGTAGAAACAATTTTCAGTTCTCCGACGATTTTTAAACACTCGTCCTCAGAACGAATGGAGTCTCTCTCTTTCTTTGACACCTTTCTTATTTTACGTATAAGTTA